TGTAGGTATGTATATGTGTGTGTGTGTGTGTGTGTGTGTATATATATATATATATATATATATATGTTATTGGCTTATATTATTTTGATGTAATTAGATAAACACTCCTGGTTCAAATACTAAGTAGTTTAATGTATTTAGTGCAGACATTTATATCAAGATACAAATGGTATTCCATGTAGCTGAGATATAGATATATAAAGAAAGTGTATATATCTCTAAATGGTGTGTATAGGGTTTTTTATGCTTCTCACTAACATTATATTGTAAACAACATAAAACTTCCATAAAAATCAGTAGCACAGACATGGTGATATGAAATTGTCTTATGTTGTTTCTATTTCTGTCATTTTCAATATACAGTATAACTGGATGGACACTTTCTGTCATTTTCAATATACAGAGTAAGTGGATGATCACTTTCTGTCATGTTCAATATACAGAGTAAGTGGATGATCACTTTCTGTCATGTTCAATATACAGAGTAAGTGGATGATCACTTTCTGTCATGTTCAATATACAGAGTAAGTGGATGATCACTTTCTGTCATGTTCAATATACAGAGTAATTGGATGGTCACTTGCTAAGAACTGTTTGAATGATGGTTTAGCTGATCACACATTTATTCTTAACTATATTCTGGATATGATTGAATGTCACATTTACTTTGTTATCTCAATAAAAACACACAAGCATAATTAGAAAATAATTCTATGTTTATAGTTTAGCAAAACTAACCTGTAAGATAACAACACACACTGATGGAGACCATCTCTTACTTTCTGTACATGTGAAAACATCCCTTGTGTTTTATGAATAATGATTGAGAATCTTTTCTGTTAAAGGCCTGATGTTTCTGAAGAAGAAATCAAAAATACCTTTACACAAACTGGAGGGGTTGTTGTTGCCTTCAAATTTTTCCCGTATGTACAGTTATTCATATAATTTAATTTTAAGTAAATTTTAAGAATGAAAATTTTGATTTTTGTTTGTCCTTTAAATGACAAATGAAAAGGTTTCAGTTTTAAAAAATGAACCTTTAGATGTATCCTCATATTGTAAGTATACAAGTAATAAAAAAACAATTTAGCAAAAATCTCTTCATAAGTATCTCGTAAGTAGTGAGTCAGTCTTACAAGCTTATGGTTATTAGCCACTACAAGACTGTATAGCACTATTTGGTTTAAATGCTTTTATTCAAATCTGAATTCATGCATCTGACAGGAATTCAACATTTAGTTGTAGATAAAAGTTATTCTTGGAAAGATTTAGCTACTTATGTAGTGATTTTTGTATGGTTTTGTGTATGCATCCCTACCTTGTTTCCATACTTTTTAGCATTGCCATCCCTACATCATATGTAATTTTTGCAAAAAAATTTTTATTGCTTGTTTTCCCTCTTTTCTTTTTTAAACAATTTGTTGAAGTAGGTTGATAAGTGAACATTTGTTTTATTTTTATAATTCAATAGTAATATATATATTGTTAATATCATGTCAGCTTCTTTAATTTTGGATTACATTGGGGCCAGTGAAGCTGGAATGGTTTCTCCAGGACAGTACAAGTATCCTGGAGCACTGGGCTGAAATTAAGGGGATACTTACAGAACCCACACCTTCCAACTTCACCCCAACTCACTGAATGTGCATATAATCAACTCCACCACATGCTAGGGTCCTGTCGATTAATAGGGAGAACATCACACAGATCCTAGATCATGAAGTATGATACCATGCATACACACACAGCTGCCAGGCTCAGCCCCACTGAAAATTTGAAGAAAAGTAGACTGCTATGTAATGTATTGTTTTGATAATTAAGGAACTGGTGTTTTCAAACTTAGACATCAATAACATCTACACAGATCTGTCAGTTGCATAAATACTTGATACTTTGAATATTAACTTAGATTATTCTTTATTTATTTATTTATTTTTACTGAAATTGTTTTGGCAGATATGTTTGTGAATGAAAAGTCACAAACAGTCCTTATATAAAAACAATTTATGCTGCCATCTAGCAACCAGAAATGAAACTTTTTTATGAAACATTGAAATAAAACATGTTTACAAACTGAACTCACTGCTAAATAGTAGTTTTCCTTTTTATTATTTCCCCACAAAAATACATGTGGTAAAAGAATATGATAATATTACTGTTATACAAGCTGTAAAACAATAATGGCAATTAGGTGCTCAAATAAAGCTATAACTCAACTTTAGGAATTATTTGTAAGCATCATAAAGTAATAGATTGAATGAGGTAGCCATTTCTTTCCCCACCCATCTCTACATACTAAGCACTATCATAATTTGAATCACTTTGAATTAAACATTGTTATGCATGATTGTAGAAATCAGTAGTGTCTAATCAGTTGATAAAATGTTGAAAATATCTGAAAACCAAATGGTAGAACTTGCTTGTATGTTTTACCCCCTTATTAATTCTCTTAGTATATAAAGCATAAACTTGTTAAGCTATACTACATAAATATCTTCAGCTGTTCTCAGTGAAAACTATGTTTTGTTTGTTGTTTAGTGCAAACCTATAAAATGGTCTATCTGTGCTGTGGCCACCATGAGTATGAAAACCTGGTTTTAAGTGGTGTGAGTTCCTAGAGTTACGTAAGCCTCTGGGGGGCAACATCTTATCCTATGAGTAATGTTTCAACATTATTCTGGTACTAGTCACTTTAGATCATGAATTATATTTGTCAACAGTATCCCTTCTACAGATCATGAATTATATATGTCAACAGTACCTCATCCATGCATCATGAATTATATATGTCAACAGTACACATCATGAATTATATATGTCAACAGTACACATCATGAATTATATTTGTCGACAGTACACATCATGAATTATATTTGTCAACAGTACACATCATGAATTATATTTGTCGACAGTACACATCATGAATTATATTTGTCGACAGTACCTCTCCCCAGGTCATGAATTATATTTGTCAACAGTATCCCTTCTACAGATCATGAATTATATATGTCAACAGTACACATCATGAATTATATTTGTTGACAGTACACATCATGAATTATATTTGTCAACAGTACACATCATGAATTATATATGTCAACAGTACACATCACAAATTATATTTGTCGACAGTACCTCTCCCCAGGTCATGAATTATATTTGTGAAATAATTTATATTTTGAACCACAACTGTTCCTAAACACTTTACTAATAGGTATGACAAAAATAAGTCTTACCCGAAGAAAGACATAACTGCCATATCTGTGCTAAAAAAATATTTTATTCAATAATGAAATTAGCAGCTTAGAAATGAGAATATATATATGTACATATTACTAAACTATATTAAGATATATTTTGCAAAAATTACCATGGTACCTAATGCTTTGTGTTGGTAAAGCATGAACTACAGATCAGTGGATTGTGTGACATCACAATAAGACTGACCATAATCTTTAACAAGGCCATCGGCAGCAGTGTGTGTGTGTGTGGCACACCTTATAAGAAGTTATTACTTAAAAGAAACATGTGTACGGCCATTAAAGAAATATTTTT